ATTTATCATTCATTTTTTAATTTCTTTGAAAAGTATTTCTTTGATAACTTCTTATATTTCTTCATATATTAGTTCCTGATAGATTTTTCTCAGTTTCCTGAAGGATGCGTAGTTTAATCTTTTTCTTCATTATAAACTTTTTAATTTTTTTAAAAAGTAATTTCTTGAGAATTCTGATCAATTTCCTGAAAATATTATAGTGTAATTTTTTAGCCATCAAGATCAATCTCAAAGCGCTTTCATTCTAAAATTTCTTGAACGTAAGTCCTATAGATTAAACCATCTTATCAATCATTAAACAAAAAGGAAAGATCTATCTCTTCATCAATCAAATTTTCCTAAAGGAGACACAGACAGACGTTTCCACATTCGGTCGACCGATTTTTCCACGTCTCCTTTTTATTGCATTTAGCAATTCGTCTCGATTCAACGAACACGTTGAATCGTAAATTCTCGTTCTACGTGACATACAGAGTGTTTCAGAATTACAGACAGACCAAGCATTATCATTAAACAATATCAGAATTAAAAATTCGAAATGCAATACGAAATAAATGAATACAAATTGGCATATTAACGCATTTATGAGAATCCAATGACTGAAAAGCAGAAATAAAATGATTTGAGTATTATAATATTTTATATTTTAATTCCATTGTACTTACATTAAATGTTTTCTTTACTTTGCAACTATTTTTAAATTGCTATCCTACAAGAAATATATTCTTTCCATCACGCTCGACAACCTACTTCCCCGGTTGACCAGCGATTTTGAAGCACCTTGTAGCTTTCCACGCTCTCGGGTACATGGTCGACGACGCGGAGGACGTTAGTGTGCGCTCGCGACGACGTTGGCGTCGACGTCGTCGTTGGCCGTAGAACAGCCGCGAAAGGAGGGATGCCACGACGACCCACATTCCGTCGAATTTAATTTCATGCCTTATCTCTGGTAACCACGGTACAATGCTTCAACTGGGGCGGCTGCGAATCCTTCTATCTTTCCCTTGTACGCTCCACATACACCGCCGCACGACACCGGTGTACAACAGTTCACGGTTGTGCCTCGTACCCCTGTTCCACGGCCGCAATTTCTGCCAGTATTTTTCTGACGAAATATTCACCTTGTCGCTTCTTGTTTGCTCTTCTTTTCTTTAAATAGACGATATTAATCAATTATAGCATAGATTTTTCTATTACTTAATATAAAATGGATCTTACGATTTTTAGACTATACATACCATTATACAATTGTCACTATTGATTGGAATAATTTTTCTTCAGATGATAAATATTTGTCATATTTCCTTTCTCCAATTTGAGACATTAATTGGTTAATATATATTTCATTCGCGTGAGATAGTGCTCCTTTTTCTCATTTTAAATATTGGAATTTAAACGAAGAAATGAGAAAATGTAGCAAACTGATGAGTTCGCTATTTACTTGAACTTTTTCTCATGAACATCTTTGGCACTCTTATCGAGGTAGAATAGCATTTTATTCGTGGTAAAATATGTTATTCAGTCGCGATTATATCCCGGAAATTAATATTAGAAAAATTATGAAAAATAATCCTTTCACACCCTCCATTGCTTTCACATACGCCCGTAAACAAAGGGTGGCACTTATTTACATGCACTGATCCCCATTCACCCCTTGGCAACCTCCTTTTTATTTACATCGCTTCACGTTAGTTAACGCGTGATCACTGAAATATAATTTTCACCTCATTTATTTAAAAATACAAACAACAAAACGCTACTTTTCTTCTCGGTAATTAGAAGAAAAACGACACAAGTGTGTACCAAACACCATATACACACACCTGATAACACGCTATAGTACTGAATACTTCAATGTTTCAAAACACTATGTACAATATTTAAAAATTTAAATTGACTGTAACATCTCCTCACTCATCTTACTTAAAAAAAGTTCTCAAAGGATTATAAATAAGTTTTGTATATTATTAATAATTATGAAAAATTAGTACGGGGGATATTTTAAAAGTAAATATCGTTCTGACATAGTAGAAGTATAATTATTCAAAAGCTGATCGCTACGAGCTTGATTGCTTCAGGAGATACTAACTAAAGACTGATTGATGGAAGCCTAATTGCTTTTAAACTTGCTGAGCGTTGATCAAGGGATACCCAGGAACTCTGTTTGCCTGAAGCTTGATTATTTAAAGAGATGCTAACTAGAAATCTGCTAATCATATCAAATTCTAATTCTCTTTGTACAATCCCAAATTGTCAATTCGATAACGCCATACGTGAAATTTTTTCTTCCTCGCACGTGGGACTGAAACACACGAAATTCCTACAAGTTCAGTTTGTTCGTCAATTTTGATTTCATAGAAAACAAATTTTTTTTTCATGGAAAAGAAATAATCAAAAGATCAAAAGAAAAGAGAAAAAAAAACTCATTTGCTTGGAAACACGTGCACGTTCTCCAGTCGAAACAGATATGTAAGCGCGATACACGTGTAGACGGTATTCAAATGCTCGTCGAGGGACAATGAGACGACCAGCTCAACAGAGAGAGAAAAACGGAATAGTTTACGATGTAGTCCACACCGTGATAGCAGTATGGAGTTGTACAGCCATGTACAGTATCGTTCGCAATTATTTAAAAACATAAAAATAATACATGAAATAAAACGCATACTTGTTGTTAACATTCAATGCGGAAAACTTAATGTTTTAAGTGACGTTTAATTTTAACACAAGTAAAATTTAATATCTGTTCTTACTTTCCGTCGAACATACAATACTTCTTCATCTCTTTTAATACGTTTCGACATCAGTCTTCCTACGAAACAAAATAAATTTCAATGTAATTAATATAATATTTATGATTTGAAAAAATCGAGTTTTCCATACCTTTCAAGTTGAAAAAGATGATAAATGAGCTTCTGTGTTATTCTGAAAAATAAATAAATTACAATTACTATTTCACTCATACAATACTAACCACAATAAATATAAAACTTTCATAAAAAAGTATTATAAATGTACAAGTCTAATGGAACAGTGAAACAAACCTAGTAAAATGGTCAGGGCAACAGCATAAGTTAATATATCAAACTTAATTCGATTCTGAATGTATTTCATCTTATAACTTCGTAACTCTGAAACATCAAGGGCGAGAAAAAGTTCACCTTTGAAGCTCAAAGGGATCAACCCTCGAAACATCTACCCCATTAACGTTAAAATTAGAATTTTCCATGTTTCGAACAATTATAAACAGTGCACGCTGTATGCCAGCTATTCGAGAGTACATACATATATACACATGAAAAGTACGCGAGAGTTGTATAGGTTAGTTCGAAGCTCGATCGTGGCTATTTCTGCGCATATACACGCGACGGGACGATCGCTTTATCAGCAAGTGGGACTCTCCTCGCGGAGGGCCGGCTGAAAGCGCGAAAACGGGACATTTATTTCGGGAAATCGAGCCGTCCGATTATTAACTTCCCGTAATGGGTCGCAGCTCGGCAGGAAATTGAAAAATACGAGCACGGAACTGACTGGTCGCGAGTCGATTCTCTTACTGGGCAAATATCCTATGGGCTATGGCGCGAATTTTCAAAATGCTTCGAAGCGTGAAAATGAGCGGGAAATACATTTGATATGAAAGATTATCGCAGATTATCAGTGTCATGTTTATGAAAAGGAAATTATATAACATTTCGCACCAGGAAAATCTATTCTATATTTTTCTTTTGTCATTGCAGATTTTAAAATTATAAAAATTTTATTTTCATTATTTTAAGATCTGCGATGGCAATATAAATATGTTAGAACGTAGTAAAATGAATTTATACTTAAAATAACACAGCTGAACTTCTTGTATGCAAATTAACAGCAAGATATAATTGCTCGAATAAGAATATTTTCTTTGATGTCTAAATACCGACTGTTTGTAATAATAGTAGCTGTGTAGTACTTAAGTTCTAAGTCTAGAAAAGAATAAGTAAATCAAATTTCAAAATAGATATGCACATAAAAAAGAGAAAGAAGGTTCTCGTTATATGAAAGATTCGTAGATTTTAGCTTGCTGGCTGTTGTTCGAAACGTGGTTTATTCCTTTTTCCCTGGCACGTCGCCTCCTACACGAATACACTAACGACGTCGTTTCAACGAAGATTCGCGAAATGAAGCTGACGACTGCATGCGATAAAGGGATTCTTAGGATTTTATGAAAAATTCGCGCCTCTTGTTACAAGAAACCGATTTAATTTTAATATAACAGCGAACAAAGAATAGAAAGGAATATGTGAAACAGACTTCTAACAAACGAGAATATAAATACTTAAATGAAAATATAAATAATTCAAGAATGTAAATGAGCCATAAATCGAAACAAATAAACCGAGAATATAAACAAGTACTTTAATAAGATATAGAAACAAACTGAAAACGTAAACATATAAAATATTATAGTATAAAAGATATAACTGTACGTACCCATTACTGGTATCTATATATTAAAAATACATTAACTTATATATTAATGTATAAATCATAAGTATTGAAGGTGCTCATCTCTCAACACGGACCATCTACCATAGTTTCGAAACCAATTTCTTAATTTTCATGACTTTCACACCAAGTCAAACCCAAGACAGGTCCCTGAAACGTAAACCAATAGTCACAACTCAAGTTCAAATACATCTGTTACACATCTTAATCACGCTAAACATACTCACCATCTAAATCCACTAATATAACATTCTATAAAATTCTACATTCCTCTTAATTAATCATCTTCCATTCTAGCATCGTCGCCGATACAACCAATCCCATCCTCCTGAGCTCACACTCGTCACTCGATCGCATCTCCAAACTCACATGACCATAGCACTCGTCACCGGCACCTATAGCGGAATGACGTTCTCTCGAGCGTCTCCGGAGGCCCTAATCGCCAGTAAGGAGCAATTAGGGCAACGTAGGGACGCGACAAGATCTAATGGGATCACGACTAATCTCTGCGATAGGCTTGCCAGCGCACCAAATGGACGAGGCTCGAGGGAGGATAGTGGAACGATAGGAGGCGACCGGTTGCGGCTGCAGCTGCGGCGTCGGTCGCTGCACCTGCAGCTGCAGCTGCAGCAGCGAGGAGGCTGCCGGTAGCGGCGTGCAGACGGGCTGAAACGATGCAGAGCGCCGGCGACTACTATCAGAGGGCGCCGAGATGCTGTCCAGGAAGGAACGCGAACGCGATCAACGCTTCCGTCAGGGGAGCGGAGTTGCTGTGTTGTTGCTGTAGCTGCAGTACAGCGACATCCACTAAAACGCCGGGACTATTAGCCAGCCTGGGGGTCTGTGTGCTTGTGCTGGGGTACACCTTGCTGGGCGCATTCGCGTTCATGGCGCTGGAAGGTGGCCTCAAGTCGGTGAGTGTTGATTTCTTTGATAACTGTATCTTCTGCCATTTTGTGTTAAAGTAAAAGAAAAAAGAAAAGGAAAATATATTCTTAAAAAATTAGTAAAGATGTTTTAAATTAATATATTGACTTACCGAATTTTTTATTAAAAATCTTCTAATCGTTAGTTCAATACAAGAATCTAAGTTTCCGCTCCTTATCATAGGATTCAGCAAATGACTTGCTCGTTTCCGGAAGTTCCAAATCCGATGGAGGATCATACATAGTGTCCAATCTTGAGGACGAGAGCGCAGCTGTGGAACTGAGAACTCGCACTGTTGAAAAGCTTTGGAGTATCACAGAAGACTTGAATGTACTGTACAAGGAAAACTGGACGCGTTTGGCGACCCAGGAGGTGATTGAGTTCCAGGAGAACCTGGCACGAGGTCTCAAGAGGACTTCCTCGCAGTACGAACCAGTTGGACCATCCTCTCGATCCAGGGACCATTCGATGGATAGAAGACCACATCGTCGATGGACTTTCAGTGGTAGTCTATTATATTCCCTGACGCTGATCACTACCATTGGTAAGAATTGCTAACACTTCTAGAAGATATATAGAATCTATTGCTTATATGGAGTAGTTATAACAATACAAATGTTGATACATATATATTTTCCATTATCTTTCGTTATTAAAGAAAATGATAGTTAGGTAACATCTATTTATTTTTTTCCATAAATGAGATCGATAGCAAACTTACTTGGCTCAAACTACTCTTATTACACTTTAATAAACGCCTCGTATTCAACCAGCCCTTGCTTGTTCCTTTAACAATAGTCGATTGTAACACGACTCTGTCGATTGGCGTTTCAGGATATGGTAGCGTGGCGCCTCGCACAGTGTGGGGTCGTTTTATCACAATACTGTATGCTCTGGCCGGGATTCCCCTAATGCTAGTCTACTTAAGCACGGTTGGCGACGTCCTCTCTAGAAGCTTCCGTCGCTTGTACGGCCGGCTGTGCAGGCCTCGAAATTGCACCAGAAAGCAACAACCGCCGCCGCCGCCACCGCCTGTAGGCGGTATTATGAGCAAAACTTACAGATACGATAACCACGTCGACTCGAAATCTGGAAATTATTATTCCGCTAGCAGAGAGAGCTCCTGCGACGATTTAGGAACTAGGGGCACCAGTAGCGCCATATTGCTGGATTGTGGAAGCGAAGGCCTACTTCATGCTACCACTAGCTCCACCGCCGCTCTTCAGGTATAACGTACTTCATTCTGAAAACATGATTTCACATTTAGAATATGTTAATATTGGGAAAATTAATTGATTAATTGCCGTAATAACATTAGATGAATAATATCATAAAAAGCATTCCAATTTCCTCTAGGACGTGACATCAGGAAACAGTAAACGACACTTTCACCCGTGTTCATTATCCCTGTCAACGAACTCATCACCAGGATATGTGGTGGAAACGAATCCTGTGAGGATACCAATCAGTCTCTGTCTAGTGATTATGCTAATCTACATATGTGGTGGCGCGGTGATGTTCAACCGTCTGGAAGGTTGGAGTCTCCTGGAAGGTGGTTACTTCTGCTTCACCAGCCTCGGAACGATCGGTTTCGGTGACCTGATGCCCGTTGGACGAAACGCCGCATCCGCCACCCTGGAGGAGCTCAGCCTGTGTGCCTGCTCGCTCTACATACTCGCCGGGATGGGCCTGATCGCCATGTGCTTCAACCTCGTCCAGGAGGAGGTGGTACGCGTGGTCAGGGTCTTCGGTAGAACCTGCGGCATGTCGTCGGGGGTGGTGGTCGGACCTATCGGTGGTACAGGTATCCCTGATGCAGGCATTCGACGGGGAACCGCTAGATCGTTCCGGGCGAAAAGCTATTTTACCCGGCCACGCTTTAGATTCTTACTTGAACACTTTGAGCCTGGCGATGATACATTATTCCTATACATAAGTATAAGCAATACCATGTATAAACTAACAAGATTTCCATAGCAGTGGTGATGTCGTCGTGTGATCGAATTCCTAAAAAAAAAATTACACTCGTTAGATAATTTATAATTTCTGTTCACTCTAGTTCTGCGATATTTTTTGGTGTGGTAAACTTAAGAAAATAACTCTGGTGGATCAAAGTTGACGTTTGGCCGCTTTCTATTGTGATATTAGAAAGACAAACGAATTGCAATTCTTTCTGTAATTCTCTTTCTTCAATATTTCTAAAAATCCCAATATATTACCTCCAAAGAAAATCTACAATTTCTTTTTTCTATATATTAAGGGAAGCATATAATAATGTAGGTAATTACCTTGTGTTCACATCCATCTATCATAGCTTCAGCTTGCCACTCCAAAGCACAAACTGCGTTTCCAAACAAACTCAGGCTCAAAGTGTGAAAAGCATCGCAAATAAAAGAATTGAACTCTCATTCGCTTTGCACGTAGAGCGGAAAAAAAAAAAAAAAAATTGAACTCTCATTCGCTTCGCACGTAAAGCGGTTCTGATCTACTCGCGTCGGGGATTTCGATCGGGCATCTTGACCACTTTGCATAACCCCTTCATTGAAAAAGCAAAAAGAAAAGAACATTATAATCGAATTAAAAAGAAGAATCTCCTTAATTTATATCACAAAAGACCATAAATCCTTTTCTTATCTGTCAGGTACCGGTCCTGAGCTCAAGGCCGACTTGGATGACGGAGGAGGCACCAGTGACTCGCGATTGTCCGAACAAGAAGAAGAAGCAATCGCCATGTCCATGGTGCCAACATCCTGACAGCATCAGGCCAGGAGTCCCGGGGACGGGAAGCTCCTGGCCCACACGCCCAACACTGCCATAAAGCCATCACCAGGTCATCATTCTTTACCACGAAAAAAAACACCGTCTGAATCCAGAAACTCTTCGACTCAGCAGTTTCAACGTGCACAATCTTTAAGACGTAGCTGTCTGTCTCCGACGCAGTATCATCATCAACATCACCAGCACCGTCAGCAAGAAAGTTCCTTGCATTTCGAGTACTTCGTGCCTAGAAGCGTGAGCGAGTTCAATCTGGCAGCGGCAGCAGTCACGGACATGGCTGTACCACCACCGCCTCCTACTTCAGTTCTGCGTCCATCGTCGGCTGTTACACCACCGATAGCTTCTGCATCAAATTCCGCACCGTCGAATCAAACCAGGTTACTAGAATGCCCTGGAACCGCGACGAGAAGTCGCGAGAAGATGGTCACATTCGAGGATGAAGGCGTGAGTTGCGCCACCTCTACACCCACCAGGAAAAATGCGTCTGGGTTGGATAATGTTTTCATGTGACGCTACTACCATGGATGATCTTGTTAAAAATAAAATTTGCTGTTGGATAAATGAAAGGGTGCTGGTGGAGTGTTGTGTGTTTTGATTATTTTCGAAAGAAGATCCTCGTGGAATTAAATATGAATGGAATTATTTTGCAGGTGAAACGTATGATGAATGTGTGTCGAATGATGAAGAGAAAAAGAAATGGGTATAGGCTAGAGTTGAATGGAGAGATTATATAATAATCGATTACTATGTGACTATGAAGAGCAAAGTAATTGAGACAAAGTATCCTTAAATGATTGTAACTAGTACTCTTTCATCGTACTGTGAAAAGAAGATATAGTGACGGTTCTTGGAGGAAAATCGTGTATAGATTTCCAGACTCTAAGGCACGAACTTCGAACAACGAAGGTGTCTGAAACGAAAATCGGCGAATTTTGAGGATTTTTATGAGCGAAATAGATCGCCGTAACGAAAGACACTAGATTTTTACCGTTTACATTATAACTACTGTTACTGTAATACTATTTATTACTCTTATTGCTGCTGATACTCTTCTTCTTACCATTACCGTTGCTAGGTTACTCAAGACGGTCGGATTTTCTTCGTGTGAGTTGTGTGAATTATTAAAATGTACTTATATGCATCGCCTCTTTCTTCTAAGAATGTTTGTTTCTTCTTTTCCTTTTTAAATCGTGGATACGACAATCGAAAACAAATAATTCTTCGTTAAAAAATGTTCAATTTAGTACAAACTTTATTTAACTTTTTATGCAAACTTTTCGATGAATATTTGTTAATTTGATACTTCACAGAGTGATTTATGATTGATCTTCAAACCGGACGTTAAGTAAAAATGTTTTAGAAGAAAGAGGTAATGTTAAAAACGAAAGGAAGATAGCCTTAAAAACCACAGACAAGTGGTTCAATTAATATTGATACAAAAAGACAGATAAATATAAAATATAGAAAAAAGACGTGCACAGTTAAGAGACGGTCTGTCCTAGTGTAATTTTTAAGAGAACTCGTTTAATCGAACGCCGAACACCGCTTAATTTTAATACAAGGCCGATAAACAAGTGTAAGAATAAAACTATCATGTAAGTGAGTGGTTGAACGATCAAATTTATCGTGGAAAATGAGACGAAATGAAACGTTCAAAAGGAACAGCATCGGTATCATAATGATCAAATCTAGACTTGCAGATGAAATTTTCTGAACAAGGAGATATTATTGGCGAGAAAAATGTTACTTGACCGCCAGGCTAGATCAAGGCTCAACGAGAGTGTTCAGATATGCTGTTTATACACGTGTTTCTTTCTTGACATTCATTGAGTTTTCATTGAAGAGAGACGAAGTAAAAGTATCGAACAATCACAACTTGGACTTGGTTTTTGTAGCTTTAAATCCTTGGACTAACATAATCGAGGATTTATTGACGATTTATTGTTAATAAACAAAATGAAATTTTTTTGAATCATATAAAAAGAAAAATTTAAATTTCTGTACTATATCGTGATCCTGAATCTCATTCAATTGCATCCTTTTCTTATCTACTTTTGAATCATTTTTATAAAAAAAGATAGTGGCTACTGCGAAAAAGAAACGAAAAAATAAATGATTCAAAACTCTCCTAAAAGACTGAAACTTTTATTTTTTGTAAATTGGTAGAGTTTTTAAATTAAAAATAGATACCACTGTTTTTATAAGAATAAGATAAAATGAGATACATATCTTCCTTTTTCTATTAATTTCATCTCATTATCTTTTGTGTTATGTTGTTTATTAGGGTCAATATAATACTTATCAATGAAGCTTATAATTTTTCCTGTGTTACATATTTGTCACTTTTCTTCATCGTCCTCGCAATAATCCCACTCCTCTTCTTGCGAATTTGATCTAAGCATAGTTGGAGCTGCGTTTTCTTCCGACTTCGAATTGGTATTATTAAAACCACAAGAGATATTACATAAATACCCTATAGCAAAAATAGTTTGAAATTATAAAAAAGTATATTGAAACAACTTTTGAAAAAATTTAAGAAAAAGATAAAAGCAAAACCTCTAATCTTGGTCATTAAATCTTCACCCTTCTCCTTGTCATCTTCTTCCTCGTCTTCATTCGATTTCTGCATTATATTTTGATAGAAGGTAAGTCCAATATCCATAGCGTGATTAATTATAAATTGAACAGTACAAAGAATCATGATGAGCAATATCGGTAAACATAAAGTAGTTTCCACATCGTCCAAGAAAAGATTCAGCCATTCCGGTAGTAAATCGCAGCTCATCTTTGATTGAAAATGTTTACTAACGAAATTTTGGAAAGCGTTCAATCTAATCCTTTATTTCTTAAAATTAAGAATAAACTCCTCCGACACGTTTCGTTGTCAAAGCGGGCCCGTTTGTGAAACAATTTCGTGAACCATATTCTTGTTAATTTTGCCGAAGAAAGAATTCATTGCCGAAATACACTTGGACGCTTTTTTTACTCCCCTGAATCGGTTCAAAAGCTGAATGTTCCGTAAAATCGATTATCGAATCAATTGCAAAACTCGATTTTGCTATAACGGCAATGAACATAAAATTTAAAAAAGTCCCATTGAGATCCGTCTTTTTAAAATGAACAAGTGTTTTAATTTGTCCAAAAATAAATATATTTATTTTTAGATTTGATTTATATAAATATTAAAATTATTTTAAATTTAAAGTATAAAATATTTAAACTTAAGACGCTCCTACCTCGCCATCTAGCGATAACTACAGGAAGCTACATCATAACCTCGCATAATGTGAATCATTGATAGAACATTGTTTACATATAAAATATTTAAGATATATAAGTTAATCGTAAATATATTATTGCTCTTGTATATAAACTGACAATTTGTTTAATAAGATACAATGTCTACTCGTTGGTAAATATTATCATTATGAAGAATAAAACTAATATTTAACATTTTAACATACTTCAATAATTTAAGAATTATTTCATAATTTTTTAACTTCGATTTTCTGATTTTTTAGGTATCCTTTATACCAAAAAGGTAACCCACAACTCAGGATATTTCTTCCAAACTTTTGGTTGAAGCTTGTAAAACCAGAACATAACCAACCCAAAAATGTAGTACAGTTTCACTGTTCAATGGAAATGACAAGATATGATGTAAAGAATTATTTAGAAAAAATTTACGATATACATCCAATACATGTGAGAACTAGGATTGCTCTTGGAAAAACATATATGCCACAAAAATTTGTTGTTAAAAAGGACGATGTGAAAATAGCATATGTTGTTCTAGTAAGTATTAAGAAAAAATTCTGGTAGAAAAATAAGAAATTGTTTCTTAAGGAAAACACCTTCTATGTTAATGTACATTTTATATAATTGCAGCCTAAAGACGAAGAATTTACATTTCCTACTATAATTCCAAAAGATTCAAAAGATAATGAAGATAGACATAAATTATATGCGAAATCATTAAAAGAAAACTTTGAGAAGTTTGTAGAAAGAAACAATTGGCCTGGTATTCCCAGTTGGTTTCGTGTATAAATTTTATAGTCTGATATAAGAATAAAGTTGAATGAAATCAATTTATATTTGTTTCCTTTTATATTCTTACATATGTTATAACTAAATATAAATGTTTAATGATTACATTTGTAATAATTAAAATAACTAAACAAAATGTATGTAGTATGTATACCTACATAACAAAAATGAAATAAAAATATGTATATATTCTTAACACAAGATTAAGCACAAAATGTATGATCTTCTTAATATTTAAAATTCACTCAACATAAAGGCATAAGATTTACATTGTGGACATTGAGCAATGTCAAACAAGAAAATTATCTGAAAGAAATAAAAGAAATAAAATTAAAAAATAATTAAAAATTATGCAAGTTAAAATCAATTAGAAAGAAAACAAATGTTTTCTTTTGGTTCATTAAAAACATGATATGTCAAATGCAACACACCTGTGGATGAATAGGACAAAAATAACGTACTCTACCCCTTGTCCAATAACCACAAACATTACATAACACATGGCAATGTGGTCTATCACATAAGCATTTATTGTAAGGTACAGTTCTTAGACTTATTCCTCTTCCCCTACCCACATGTTCTGCTTTATAATTACCAAATTTTGATACGGTATACATTTTGATTGTTTGTACCTAATTAAATAATTCAAGTTCATGATAAAAATATTTTTTAATAAATAATAATAAATGAAATATACAATAGCTTATAGGTTTCTTATGAAGTGTATCAAATATTACAGCAATCAAAGCAAAGAAAAATTTATTTGATTAAATCAATACTTTCTAAAATGCAGTCTTATATTAATAAATGAATCGTTAACGAAAGACGCATTTTGAATCATAAATTCATGACACAAATTCCTATGCGCAAATATGATTCACTCGTATATTCGTGACGCTTTTGGTAGCAGCGCTTAATTTCCGGTTCGCAAGTAACAATTATCTCTTTGTGATCTACTTGTAACATTTAATTCATATCATTTTGATAAAATGAAATAGTGCTTTTAACTACGCATCTGCTATATACAAGATGTAACGATAAAATCCAAAAAAGTGTGGTCGAAATTGCACAACCGACTACAAACTAACATTTGTGTCGTAATATACTTTTAAATCAGAAGTATTTTTTTGTAACATATTTTTTTAAATATGACTATACCTTATACAATAATCACTTGCTTTCTTGATGTAGCAAATTACAAATCACTGTAATATGAGCAGTTGTCCCCACGCAAATTGACACAATACGGACAAAGCAAGAACCTAACACCGTAAAATGACTAATAACAACACAATTAGAAAATCTAAGGCGCTTTTTTCGTTAATAAAAAAACTGTACGATCGCTAACGTCTTCGCCGTCGACACGCTTGTGCGTTTCTGGCACGTGGAACGTGGAACGTTCAGTTAATAGAGATGGATAAAAAATAAGAGTGAAATAAACACACTTGAAATCCATCGTTTGTTTTTCGTCGCGAAGCCAGCCTCTATTCGTTAGCATGAATCGATTGGTGATATATCGCAGTATAATGAAATAAACCTTTTTCTCGAATACGAGGGTACGATTATTTTGCAATAAAAGGTTAAATTTTTTTAAATTATGATCAATTTGCAATCGGAAGTATGTTGTGTTACAAATAGACATGGCGAGAAGGTAAAATGAAAAATGATTGATCATTTAATCGATTTAATTTAAAACTCTAAACATAGTATCTTTGCTTATACATAATGTAATCATAAGAATCGTGCAATTAATATTAATATGAGTTATAATTAAAGGATATCGAAGAAAGAAAATGCAACCATATGTTATAAAATAGTTTAACTTCCAATAGATATGGGTTATGGTACAAAAATTGATTAACCATAAATCTTATTTCTGTCCCATTTTTATCGTTCTTTTTTATTCGTTCTTCATAAGCAATAACTCGATATATTGAAAACATCATGTATCCACGGTGAATCGATCTAACTTCTAGTATCAAAGGGCATGGCGTCCAGTACAGTACCGGAAAATAAACGCATTGCAAATTTAAATGTATCTAATAATCATGGCAGGTAATCCAAAATAAAAAAAAGAGTGTACTTCAAAATCAAAAAGATAAAAAATCAAAATCCAATGAATCGGAAAAAATTATGACACAGAAGGAAAAAAATGTTTCAATGCTAATGATTAGCTATCTTTCTTTTTCTTTTAGAAAAGTTCTAAACGTTTACAGAGTATCAACAAGTGGAACAGACAAGACGAAAGTGACGTTTTGCACGGACGTGGACAAGTCCGTGATAGTGCATAACTTCGAGAAAAGGGGATGGGTTCAAGTAGGTCCGGAAGATGATTGGAATTTTTATTGGTAAAACCATTTCTCTAGAAAATTATAAAATAAGTGAAAAGAAGTATTTTTATTTTGCATAAAAGAAACTATTATATTATAGGGCAGTCACTCAATCATGTAGGAATATATTCAGCGTAGAAACCGGATACAGAATGGACGACAAACAGTTGAATATTTTCTTTCTTTATTTTAATGTTTTATTTCCTTTCTTTTTTAAGTATGGCAAATTTTTATGATCAAGCAACTTTTTTTTTAGAATGATCAATCACTTTCCGAATCACTATGAATTGACACGGAAGGACCTCTTGGTAAAAAATATAAAACGTTATCGGAAGGAATTGGAACGGGAAGGAAATCCTTTAGCAGAAAGAAGCGATGGTCCGGGAAAATATCTTTATCTCGATTTCATACCTGTCACGTTCGTATTACCAGCAGGTCAAGTATTATATAACATTGTTAACATCGCGATTAAAATATTTAATAAGCAAATTCGTGTTTAGATTATAACATGTTCGTGGAAGAATACCGGAAATCACCGCAAAGCACGTGGATCATGAAGCCGTGTGGAAAATCACAGGGAGCTGGTATATTCCTAATTAATAAATTAAGTAAATTAAAGAAATGGTCCCGAGAAGCGAAAAATCCATTCAACCCCAATTTAACGAAGGAGTCATACGTAATATCTAGGTATAAGATAATTTATAATTCATCGAATTCATGGAGTGGTAAGATATATCTTAATTTTGGGGGTGATGGGGGATAATTCTTTAGGTATATTGATAATCCACTTTTGATTGGCGGAAAAAAGTTCGATCTTCGATTATACGTTCTCATTACATCCTTTCGACCATTGAAAGCGTATCTGTTCAAACTAGGATTTTGTCGATTTTGTACGGTTAAATACGATACTAGTATTCAAGAATTGGACAATATGTACGTTCATTTGACAAACGTATCTGTACAAAAGCATGGTGTAAGTGAATTGTTGGAAAGTGGAGGAAATATGTATGAAATCGCGCTAAAAAATTTTGATAAAAAGGACATTATTGCAGGAAGAATACAACAGCAAGCATGGTGGTAAGCTGAGTGTACACAATTTGAGACTGTATTTGGAGAGCACGCGTGGGAAAGCGGTTACAGAAAAATTGTTTGCGAATATCACTTGGTGTATCGTACATTCTTTGAAGGCTGTTGCTCCAGTTATGGCGAACGATCGACACTGTTTCGAGTGCTATGGCTACGACATTATCATCGATAATGATCTTAAACCGTGGCTTATAGAGGTTTTTCAACCCCACTCTAATCCTTTTAGTTTGTAATTAAGTTGGCTACTTAATTAATTGGTTCCATAGTCTAGAATCATGTAATAACACGTATAGTCAAGTACAACCACAAGTTAGCCAACTATAATTATTTAGGATTGTGTATAGTTGCATATAGACATCACAGATAACTATATACTTATCTCAGATCTTTTTATCCAATCATACTAATTAATCATTTCTATATATATATAGGTAAATGCATCTCCATCGTTGACCTCCACTACAGTAAATGATCGAATTTTAAAATACAAATTAATTGACAATATAATTTCAATTGTCGTGCCACCCGATGGTGTACCAGAGTAAGTCCCATATCTCTATATTTTTGGAAAACTGTGTTTTCAATTTTAATTAAACTCAATCGTGTACATAATATAGTGTAAAATGGAACAAATGTCCACCACCAGAAGCACTAGGAAATTTCGAGCTCCTTTTGGACGAAGAATTGTCCACTCAAGATGATAAAGAATATTCATCCGGAAAGTATCGCAGTTCCTCAAGCAAATGGAAATAAACATTTGTTTCTGAATAACAAAAAGGAAAATTAATAGAAAATAATATTTCACGCGTATATTATTTCACAAAAGTACGTATCACTGAACTTGGTATCGAGAGGAGGTTCAGAAACCGAGGCATGCGTAGATGCAACAACCATGGTTCGTCGGCTTTTATCGTCAAAGCGCATGTACCAAATCTTCGAAATGCATATATTCCGAGCAGTTTATTTTGTTCGCGCACAGCACAATTTATCGTAACTTGCCGACATTTTCTCAAAGGGAAGTATACGTGTACGAATATTTAAGACATCAAATTGTGTAACAAATGCGTGGTACAGTGACACGAGCACGTTATATCAATCGGTACATAAGGGTGAATCTTCTGCGATGGTGGTGAATCCGCGATGGATTCGCTTTGCAAAATTTGTGATGGAATTATACTGAATCACTGAGGAACATTTCTCTGCTTGACAATTTAATCGTGAAAATCTCATTTCGTTTCTTCTCTAACAAAAATTAAATCATGCTAATCGAGTGTAACATTTTGTATCGTTAAAATAATCCCGATCAGAAAGTATGGAGAATAGTTTATGCAAACAGGTGTTGTTCGTGAGTACGAAGTTCCTGATAATCGCGGTGATATTTCAGACACTGTGTTTCACCAAAGTTTCTCCAGGTAAGACTAATCTATTCGTTTGAATGTAATCGGTTTCCAAACGTAAGTGTAAAATACGCGATTAAATAAATATTCTCTACGATATTGATCTCGTTGCCAAAAACTTTATGATCTTATTGTTCACTATAAAATGACGGTGGAGGTTTGAAAACGTAAAAAGTCAACCTTCTGGCGACCCTCTTTTTTTGGTGTCGTGGGTAGTTGTGCGTACAAATGAAATAATCATACTTTCTGAGCGATTTGTTTCGACGGCTGACATTACAATGACTTCTTCTACTCGTTTGAATTTCGATTCAGTCTCTGTTGAGCGCGATGACGTCTGACGTGTCACGTGAAGCGTTTCAATTTCCTGTAAATTTATTAGTATTACCCTTCGAAATCCTATAAATAGCATTATTCTTTTTTTCTTTTTCTTTTTGTTCAAGTGAATTATGAATATCCACCAAAGGTCTACAATGTCGGTGTTCTCATGGCTTCCCATCTGAATAGTCCCTTCGATCTTGAGAGATGCGGACCAGCCGTCGACTTGGCGTTGGCCGAAGTAAACGACTTTTTAAGCGTGCACAATGTGAAATTGCGCAAAGTTCAAGAAAGGTACAACGAAAAATTGCATGTCCTTTCATTGTCTACTCTTGATTAATTAACATATGTATACCTCTTGCAACTTTCGTTGATTGATCGGTGCGTATGCAAAAAGAAGAGAGGGAAGAAGAGGAGAAAAAATCACTGAATTACGCATACGCATGACCCTGTGTAAACTGATTCACTTTTGACCACGCATTCCCATCGCTTCCAGCTCATTACATTAATTCAATTGGACAGACGTTTGCGCAAAAAACAGAACTTCGACAGCAAGATTCGTTGATCGTATAATCACGATTTAGTAAAACGAGAATAGCCATTTGAAATCCGAATTGAGTCAAAAACGTAATAATAAATATCGAAGATTTAAAAATGTAGTAAAATAAATTTTCGGAAAATTTAAAAAAAAATAAATAAAAATTTAAAAAACCAAAATTACTGATTATCAGAAACACTAAATATATCGCGAATCCTGAATACCAAGATTATACAATAGGAAAAATATCAAATATTGGAAATATCAAATACCAAGTGTCCTGAATATAGAGAATACCGAGTACAAACGATTATCAAGTGTGAACTACTAAATTTTCAAAACAAGACAGAAAGTGACGCCATTCCTACAAATTCTCATTTCCCTCTGTCGATCCAATGGCGTAGGATTAGAATAATCAGACAGAATGAATTAACCCACGTTACAATTTGTTAACGAAGAGGACGAAGGGCAAGGATCAGCGAGCGTGATAATTTCCCGGGGATCGGTATCCAATTATTGCCCATTCAGCGACACGATTAATCTATCATTATTCCGAGTCGTTCCTTACACTTGGAATGACATTGCATTCTGCTAACCCCCGACAATTATCAATCATTCAACGCGTACGTGCGTTTCGTATCACGGATTCCCTCAGGATATCTTCCGGGCGTTACAACACCACGACTCGATCGTCTCCCTTCCCCTTAGTCCAGTAATTCGATCGCGACCTGTTTGCATGGTGGAACACGATCATCCATCAACTCGGTTACCCCTGCTCCTTTTCCCGGTATTGTTTGATTCCTACAACCATTGTCCCCCGCTTCCTTTTTGTTTTCCCGCCGACTCGGATGGAATCGTGATGCGGAAAAAAACACAGCGCTGGAAAACACGTGATCCTGAAAGATTGCCGACAACTAGTGGGCCGTGAGGTCAAGTTAAAGAGGACCTCCTTCTCTTAGATCTTTCCGCACATTTGCTATCGTTTACGAAGATTCGCGCTCGATAATGGATTGATCTAACCTATAAAGTTTCTTCGTAAAATAAATACCTTTTATAAGCACCACTGCGTAGAATATTACTGCGTTGTATAACTGGGGTATTATTATATATTTTAAGTATTTTGGATGATCGTTGATATTCGTTTTCATTTTATTTCTGCTTCCTAATCTCGTTGGGTCTATTCTTTTAATTTTGATTCTTAATGAAGTATCTAATTATTCCGACAATAGAATTATGAATTTTAGAAATAAAAATATATGGATATGGTATAATTCTGAACAAATAATTCGCAGTTACCCATCATGCAGCGGAGCCGCAGCACCAGGTTTAGCGGCGGACATGCATTTCCGGGATAAGGTGATCGCGTTTATCGGTCCAGCATGTGCTTTCGCTCTCGAACCCGTTGCAAGACTCGCCGCCTATTGGAACACTCCCATAATCACTGGAATGGGTGACCAAGTACATTCGTTACAATTCACTATAATTTAATAGAAAAATAAATTGAATGTTTAATATCCATATTTATAAAAAGAATCTTACTTATTTTTCTTTTCAATTTTAAGGTATGCATAGGAAAGATAGAGTTTATGTAAAGCTAGTCAAGAGTGTTTGGATTAGAGAAATGAACGAGTCAGTGAAGGATACCTGAACTTGTTAGAGATGTAAAAGAACGGAATGATTGAGATTGTCACGTGAATGAAGGATACACGATCCCTTAATGTTTTGGATAGACGAGCCTAAATGTCTTTTAGAAATGTTCACATAGGGTGAAATAGGTAGAGAACTGGGGAAAGGAAGATTGCGTGTGTATATAAGTGGTTATACGGAATGTGTGCGGGGAAAAGAAATTAAAGTTAAGAGAGGGAGATGAGAAACAGACACTTGTGAGTCAGTATCAAGACAGGAAAAAAAAGAGCTTTTGTGAAAATTAAGAAGTAAGAATATTAGTGTAGTTAAATTATTATATTATTATTTCGTTGCATATAGCATTATTTTATTTGTGACTTTACTTATTAAAGTAGAGTATATACGTCTGCGTGACTGAAAATGAGATTTCGTCTTGTACTAAAAATTTTTAGCGAAAAGTATTAAAGTTTATCTATTAATTTCTTAACTATATTTAATAATGATTAAGTATTATGCATATATTAATTCTTTTCTTTGTTTTATGGTAATGTTTGATTATGGTTCATCTCGAACAATTAAGCCGCCATCGGAAGGGGAACTGTCCGTAACATCGGGGATCCTTGGAAGAATCAATAAGTGGAAAAACGAAAGCTCGGTAAGAAAATTCCAACCGTGGTATTTTGTTCGTTATGTTAATTGATCCTGTTATTCGCTTAATTATCGCCTGCAACGAACGCGTTCAGATGGAAAAGAATACGAGATGCTTCATATGATACTTCATTTCTATTTACGACTCCATTAGTATTCTTAATTAGTATGCTTGTTAAGGTGGCTGAAATAAAATTAGAACGTAACCAAAGAAAAAAATAAAAAAGATTAAAAAGTATTATGAAGTATTTTAAAGTTCGTCTAATCTAATTTCAGTTATTTCTTTTCAGGGAATTTTTAAAGACAAGAGCAAGTACCCGACGCTAACAAGGATGTCCTATTGCCAGTGTCGTCTTCGATTAGTATTCTCTAGTATCTTTAAAGAATTTGGGTGGTCTCACGTAGCATTGATATTAGATAGATCGGATCTGTTCTCGTGGACGGTGGGAAAAAATTTGGAGTATGGTTTGAGGAAAGAAGGTCTGTTAAAATTCGTGAGAGAACTCGATGGTAATTCTGAGGATGAGTCGTACCATCTTTATTTACGGGACGCTAGTATGTACGCAAGAGGTAAATGTTGCAAACGTGACATTATTAATTAATTTGTTTGAAATTAATTTTAGTCGATTTATCTGTTTAAATTGGCATATCATTTGTCTTCTGACAGTGTTGATTCTTAGCGTTCGAGGAATTCTAGTCAGGAAATTCATGTTAGCTGCTCATGACTTAGAAATGACGAGGGGAGATTGGGCTTTTCTCGACGTTGAGATATTTCAAGTAAAGTAAAAGCCTTTGTCTTTTGCTAGATATATCGCAAAGAATTTACATAAACCACTTAGACTCAGAAAGTTAAAAAGGTTTAATCAAAATTCAGATTTGAGCCGAAGCTCAAAAAGTTGTAATTCAAATTCCGATTTGGAAATTTAAATTTGATTTGCATTAACCAACGAAATATTTCATTCTCAAAAGAAAACAACAATATTCGTAAGTTTTTCATGTTTATGCAAAAATGTTAAACGAGTTTCTTTTTTATTACAAATCAGGGATCCTATTGGGGCGACCATGACTGGGAGGTCGGCGATGAAGACGATGCTATTGCAAGAAAAGCCTATGAAGCACTGCTCAGAGTATCTCTTTTACAACCAACCAGTCCGAGGTTCCAAGACTTTGCAGAAACTGTTCGTCAAAGGGCTCAAATCGACTACAATTATTCTTTCTCAGAGGGAGAAGAAGTAAACTTCCTTCTATCAATCCTTAGACACTTAACAAACTTACACTAAAAAAGATTTTCTGTCGCAAATTAATTCAACTCATAAAACAAAATTAACAAATCTTAACAAATGTTAATTGTTCGCAGAACTGTGAATTGTATTATCAGATTTGCATTGCATCATGAATAACAAACATAATAAAGGTTTTATCATTTTTTAGGTGAATTTCTTTATCGGAGCTTTCTACGATGGCGTGTACTTGCTCGGAATAGCATTGAACGAAACTTTAACCGAGGGTGGAAACATCACAGACGGCATATCGATAACGAGGAGGATGTGGGACCGGGACTTCATTGGTATTACGGGGCACGTGAGGATCGACGACAATGGCGACCGCGACGCGGACTACAGTATCCTGGATTTAGATCCTATCACGGGAAGGTCAGCGTCAATTAAGCCAGCCATTCCTCTGATCCGTTTGCCGTGCTAATCAAGCGCCATTCTGCCAGCCAACTGGATACATTCGTCTCAAAAGCGTCGCAATGAAACTCTCTCGATTTCCTTTGAGTTCGAAACAGAATTTTGATGAAGCAGATGTGCATATACTGTAATTAAACAATATGCCGTGGATCTACGCAGAAATAATATTAATTCGGGATTTCTAGGTTCGAAGTGGTAGCACACTATTTGGGATTAAATCGAGAGTATAGTCATGTGACTGGAAAGAAAATTCATTGGCCTGGAGGAAGAGAGGGTCCACCAGCGGATATTCCTGAATGTGGATTTTTAGGAAATGATCCTGCTTGCACTTCGAGAACCGAGGCTTACACCTTTGTTGCTTATACTAGTTTGGCTCTTGTTGTGTTTTTGCTAGTCGCTGTTACCGCGACTTGTGTATTGTACAGGCTAGTAGTACATGAACATATTTAAAAAGTGACCGATTTTAATCGTAACAGCTTTGTTATTTTAGTTAGATCTTTCCACTGGAAAATTTAGTCTTTGTTAGGTAATTTTTTAATTTTAATATTGTTTCTTACAGACACTTGAGACTGTCAGCTGATCTGAATAACATGTCCTGGAGAATCAGACCAGAAGAATTGCTTTTGGAGATAGGAAAGCCTTTTTCTTCGAAGATCAATCTGCACCAAGCAATAGCGGAGGTGAATATAAGGGAATTGAATGAAGAACACATTAAAATTAATGCTATACTTACAGAATTTTGGATTGGAGCAACGGATTCGTCGAGGATCGCAATTTAGTTGCGAATCTTTACCTACAACCACGGTGTTCACTGCTGTTGGAATTTATAAGGGAGAAAGAGTGGCTATTAAAAAAATTACTAAGAAAAAAGTGGTTGATGTCACGAAGAAATTACTCTGGGAGATTAAACAAGTACGAGATGTTACTTCAGAAAATACTGTCAGGTATAATAGTAATATAATTATAAAAATATTAATTATAATTTAATACATGAAACATTAAAAATAAATTCCAGATTTATCGGTGCATGTCTCTGTTCTCCATCACCAACAGTATTAATCTTAACAGAATATTGCCCTCGAGGTTCCTTGAAGGATGTACTAGAAAACGACGCTATTAAATTAGATTGGAATTTTCGAATGTCTTTGATCCACGATATCGTCAAGGTAGAGCAGGTGCAGAAGTTGTATCACACGTTCATTTCATTTAACCACAAAAGGTGTAAATTATGTTGTAAGCAACGAAATTTCTTAACTTTTTTTTTATTTTTTAAAATATATCTATAAAAAAAAAATTAAAAAAAGAGACATATATATTTATGAAACTTGTATGAAAATAATCCCCATCATTTTTTTATCGCCTTGTATAATTATATCCCTCATTGATTCATCGAAATTTAGATATAATTTTTGCAGTATCACCATAAATGTTAAATACAAGATGTTATTCATTTTTTACAGGGAATGTCTTACCTCCATGCCAGCGAGGTTTCAGCTCACGGAAAGCTTCGTTCCTGCAATTGCTTGATCGACAGTCGCTTCGTTCTAAAAATTTCAGACTTCGGTCTTAAAACCCTCACTACCCCTTCTGACCTAATTATGGATGATGATTATTATACCAGTACGTAACAATTATTTATACAAACAAACTTAAAGATAATTGACTATTATTATTACCACTTGGCAGAATTGCTTTGGGTCGCCCCAGAACTTCTACCTTCGACTGTAACACCTGGCAGTGCAGCGACTCAGAAAGGGGATGTTTATAGTTTCGCAATTATTCTGGAAGAAATTGTAATTCGTGGTGGCCCATATGAATCTGTAAAATCATTTATGACATCCCAAGAGGTATAATAAAGTCGGACAATTTTTCTTTTAATGATCATTTCTATAATTCTTCTTTGTTATTTGAAATATTCATTATGTTAGATCACTTACTTCATTTATATGTTGTTAATAATTTTTTGTAAATGTCACGAAGATCGTTAGCCGCGTTGCAGCATCAGAAACGCCATGGTTTAGGCCGGAAGTGACACCAAAGGACTGTCCACCAGATATTCTATCCCTCATGGAAAAATGCTGGAATGAAGTCCCAGAAGAACGACCAACATTTCATACAATTCGTGAAACTATACGTGGCATTATGAAGTGAGCTTCAGTTCCAATGCCTTCTGAAGAAATATAAACTATCTAACTGAAACTTTTTTTTTTCGATTAAGAGAACATTCAATTCATAAATATAATCTTTCAGAGGATACTGCAAAAATTTAATGGATGATTTATTAAGACGCATGGAACAGTATGCAAATAATTTAGAGGCCCTCGTAGAAGAGAAAACGGAGCAGCTAAGTTTAGAAAAACGGCGTAGTGAAGAACTTCTTTATCAAGTACTTCCGAGGTAACTGAAATATTTTGAGAGATTACTTTATTCGATAATTTATACATTTATTCATAATTAAATACCACAGACAGGTAGCATGCCAGCTAATGGCTGGAGAATTGGTACAACCAGAGCAATTCGAATGCGTGACCATTTATTTCAGCGATATAGTTGGTTTCACAGCTCTCTGTGCACAAAGTACACCAATGGAAGTGGTTGATTTCTTAAATGATCTTTACAGTACTTTCGACCGTATTATTGGATTTTACGACGTTTATAAGGTACTTGAATATTATTCATACCCAAGTAAAAACTACAATTTTAATTGAAATTGTGTTATTAATATTTTATGTGATTAAATTTTGTTATATGTAAGGTGGAAACAATAGGGGATGCATATATGGTAGTGTCTGGCTTACCAGAAAGAAACGGTGATGAACACGCGAGGGAAATTACTTTAATGGCTCTAGCAATTCTTGATTCTGTACGTTCTTTCACCATAATGCATAAACAAAATGCACAGCTGAGTGTCAGGATTGGTGTACACAGTGGACCAGTTTGCGCGGGTGTAGTTGGTCAAAAAATGCCACATTATTGCCTTTTTGGGGACACAGTGAATACTGCATCAAGGATGGAGTCTTCAGGACTACGTAAGTCATTTTAAACAAACTTTAAAAAACCTCGTGGTATAAGATTCTCTATCTCCACTTCATTAGCAAGTTCCTTTTTAATGTCTATCTTGTATTTTATTTTCACTTTTTAACACCTGTTTTATACAGCATTGCGCATACATATCTCTGAGGCAACAAAATGTATATTGGACAAATTTGGAACATTTGATTTGGAACTTAGAGGTGACGTAGAATTAAAGGGAAAAGGACGAGTCACTTCCTACTGGCTGAAAGGTTGCTCTGAACCAGATCCAAGGCCACCAACTCCAAAATATCGCAATCATAGTGTTAGTACACCAGAAAATAATCTAAATCCCTTAATTTTTCCGCCTAATAATACAAATGGTCCGAAAGCTAATAACAATACATTTATTAATTTATCCGAATTGCAACAAAGCGTTTAATTTTTATAATTTCAAAAGTAAAGTGTAACAAGAATTATTGTTCGATTATAGATATTCTTACGACTTAAAATTGAAATTGAAAGTCATAATTATAATAAATTTATTTCATTTTTTCTATTACAATATGTCGATTTGGAATTTTACATTGATAACATTTAATTTATATGTAAATAGAATAATCTGTAATAAACTTTTGTCGACAGGCATGTGCATTAAATTGTTCACTTTCATCGGCGACGGACTACTTGAAAAATATAATATTTCTTTTAAATATTCTTCAAGTATACTTACCAATACCAATGCAATTTAATACACTTGTCTAACTATATGATCTATGTAAAGTTTGAGTGAATTGAAAGACACGACAAAAAGGAATTTCCCAACAGAAATTAAAAATGAAATCGAATATTGCACATTCCTCCAAAAGTTTGCACATTACTTTTGCTGTACTTTCTGTGTCGTACTATTCGCGATATTAACGAAATGTAACTTTTCCTCAATGTTATATGTGTGTAAACTACAGTAGAATTAGCATCTTTATCTTTATTATCGTTACGGTTAAACACTACTAATAATTGGTTATAAACCTCTGTGTAATCTATGTTTTTATCACTGTTAAATCTAAAAAGTTGTGTCAATTATAATTCATTTTCCGTAAAATCTGGACAGTAGCAATTCTTCTGTTGAACTACTTGGATGCCAGGAACATTATTAGTCTGAAACAAAAAATATAAAGTGAATAAATACATATTATAAACAATTTTTTTCTGGGAACTTTCTAATAAAAAGTTATTATATAGATATATGGCTATATCCTCACCTGAAACTAATAGCTCTCGCAGCAAGAAGTCTATTGCACTCTGCCGTATCAGGTAAGGGTAAAGGTAAGTAAGGACTTTCATTTTCTTGGTCAGTGAACTCGAATTTGTGTATTCTTGGTTGTACTTTCATGTCACCAAAAGGTCCTTTCAATATCAAATAATGAAGCGGTAGTGGATACATTGTTTTTGTTTTTAAAATCAACTATAATATATTAGAAAATATATATTTAAAAACTGATTTTAAAAACTTTGCATTAAAAAATAATAAAAAATATATTAAAAAATGATCGTCACAAAATTTAACAAAATTTGTACGTACTTGATAAGTCATGTCTCTTTCTAAACTTTGAGAAGGATCACATTGATTATTATTGATTCTTGCTTTTACAACCCATTGATTGTTAAACGCCGTAAAACGAGAAGTTTCATAAAACAGTTTATGAATAAACTCGTCCGTACGATATGGCTTCATTTGTAAATCTATAAAGGACGAAATTCTACAGATAACTCATATCCTTCATTTCTTATGCTTCTACTAAAATGGCAGAAGAAGCAAGATCGAATAAAATGAATTTATTTAATGTTTCAAATATCTTCAATGACGTTTAAAAGTCTAGATAAACAATATTTTAATTTAGACAAATCTGATGAAAGGGATTGTTCCTGCCGCTGCTAAACAAAGCAGAAAAGAAAGTAATATTTTTTTTATAACGTTTCTATCTAAACAAGACTAAATGAGTGTTTGTGAGCCTTAATACACGAGAAACGGATACAGACCGTTAAATGTGATTTTCTCGTAGGACAAAAGATCAAAGACATTGTCATACAGCCTACGTTCTTCAAGAGTACGGGCATCAATATCACGTAGAGCTTCCATGACATCCAACCCTGAACGATGAGGATGTACACAGTGGGTTTCGTGTTCTGGACGTTCATGATTTGGTCCACGCCAAGGACAACCGATTCTACTGTATTTGCAGCTGGATATTCTATATACATACAAGAAAAAATTAGTACTCCTTTAACCCGTTCCATTTATTAATTATGATTACCTTTCTTCACACATGGTCTCTTCATGGCGTTCCAAGGAATTCCTTGGGAATTCCTTTGCACAATATTGACATTCTGCTGGCAATTCAGATACTGCTTTTTCAACTGCCAAATTTCGAGATGGAGATGTTCTGCTGATCTCGATTCTGCAGTTGGGGCATGTTGCCATTTCATCTCTTAGCCTGGCATCTGCGAGGACATGAGTGAAGCAACCGGCACACATCAAGTGTCCATTTGTACACTGTGAACATTGTTGCAGCATGTATTACTAGCATTCTTAATTTTATATTTTTGTAGGAGATAATCCTAGCTTTGTTGGTAATATTATCAGCCTGTTATATCTCTTATATGATTTATGTGCAGCTTTGTGCAAAATTCAATTTGCTAGATTTCAGTAAATACTATTAATTACAAAAAAGAAAAATAAAGTTTTCCCTTAAATATGTTAAATTATTATTTTGCACAAATTGCCATATTATATTCTCCCTTCCTTAGTATATATTTATATATATGTATATATATATATGTACAACCCTTATATCAACATTAATCAAACTAGAATAACAAAACTAATGTCATGTATATTACCATAATTTGATGTTTTTAAACCTGAAACACAAAATTGTAATAGCACCATTAATAATTCAATCGTGAAACCAGTAGGTTTAAAACAATGTGAATATCGTCAAAAGCAATTGTCATTAATGTTGCCAATATTGATAATAGAAAGGAAGAGAAAAGGATAATGATGTGTAGGATAAGTGAAAAAGGGTGTCATATGCGAAATAACTAACTAATAACCTTTAAGAATGTTTATTTTGTTCAATGCTTTTCAACTATACATGTTATACAGATTTTCTGGAAATACGCTTTCTCTCTCTCACTCTCACTCTCTCACTATTAATCATAATTGATAAACATCAGTACCGCATGGATCTACAATAAAATTTTTTCCTAGTAACTAATATCTGGTTGGTTCCTCCATTTCCATTACTTCTTATAATAAACATAATAATTTTTAATTGGAAAAGGTATTGCTATATTATGTGCTAAAGACTATAAAGATCTGTTGACTTAAGTAATTCCTGTTTCTTTCTTTTTTTCTTTATTTTCCTAAGTGACTTTATTAGGATACGAACAAGAATGAAGTTAAAGTTCAAATCATTTGTATATTACTTATAAGAACCAAATATTTCTTGTAACATGTACGAGTTCACAAATGCATGAATACAACGTTCAAACTTGTGTACCTTCATAAAAATAAAAAGTACATTATGCGCTGAACAGCGCACTAAGTAACTTACATGTATGCATCTCTATCATGATAGGATAAACGCAACATTCTTCCCACTGTTTTACAGTTAATGAGGACAATGAATGTAGAATATATTACATATATATATTTCCATCAATAAAATTCAGAAAAAAAACTGAGAACAAAATATAAATAGAGTATAGGTAGAATGAAATGCTACAAATTTAATAATAGAGGAGTTTCTGTAAATAAACATCACTAAAAAATGGGATCATTGCTTGGGCATGCATACATACAATAATTCCCTTTGATATATTTGTATGTTTCTCGCATGAGTTAAAAATTCGCCACAAATGTACATTATAGTGAGAATTATTTTACATGCATGCATAAGTATGTTTATCATAAATATGATGTCACTTTTACAATACAAGCTATACAAGAAAACACTTAGGCAGTATGTTTACTATAATACTAAATATTTAGAAATTCCATTGCAAAAAATTATTTTGTAAAAACATGTTGTACATGAGGATGATCTTTATCCTAAGTTAAATTTTTTAGACTCTATAAATATATTTAACAACAGAGATAACATAATTCTAAACTGTAGTATTTGTATTTAGCAAATTAAAAGCTGTTCTTCATACATCTGTTTTTCAAATGTTGAATATCACTTCTATTAAAAATAACATATAGTTACCTACCTGTAATGATATAATTACTATCTTAAAGAAGACAATATTCATAAACATTTTTCGATTTTTAATAATAAGAGATAGCTTAAATTTGTCTTAAATACTTATAAAATCAAAACTTAAAACGAAATTATTATCTGCATAATTATTAACAATTATCTTCCTGCAATATTAGAAAAATAAAATCTTATTGTAAAGGCAAACTATTTAAAAATATGTTACAATCATCAAGAGAAAAAGAAGATAAGAAAAATGGGCAGAGTGAGAGAGAAAGAATTTAACATAGAAACAAAGTGGTATTAAAAGCTGTTGTTAATTGATTAAAAATACAACTCAACTGCAACATGAATGAAACCAGTAAGAAAATATATTATAAAAATAAGTTATGAATGACAAGCAATAATAACTCCAGAAGTTTCTGCTCTTCTCCCAAACACATTTATCTACTAAAATATATTTTCACTTTTGTGTTCCTTTTATTTAAATTATTTCACTTTCATAATTAAAATGATATAAAAATTAAATTACTATGTCTTTTAACAAACTTTAAATATTATTATAAAATTATACTGTGTTCCACGTCATTTGACGTACTTTTTACGTATATTTCAATGAGAAGTTTTACTACTGTCAAACATTATAACCGAAAACAACAAAAGACAATTTCGAATGGAAGAATGTCAACAAATTGTCACGGTGCGTAGTGTGCGATCGAGGATTACTAAAAAGATTTCGTTTTTCTTAGTAACATCTATACGTACGTGTATGTATGATATACATATCGCAGCAAACGACGAACTCACCCATCGGCCTCGGGTGAAAATGTCGGATAGAAAGAAACGACGTCGTTAGAGGAACGACGGTCAAGACACATTAAAGCCACGGAATATCCATCGATATAACGCACATTTATAGATTCGCAATGTACCGAAGTGGTACGTATTAAACAACGCAGAAAATATTGAAAGAAAGATATTAGAAACTTACCTGATAAACGGTCGCCTTGGGTAAATCAAGACAAACTGCGCAGCAGAGGATGCCGCCCAGGCGGTGTTCCAACTTTTGCTCGGTTTTCCCATCGTTCCGTGACACTTTACGGCGTTTTTTGTCAGGTTCAAGAAAATCCTCTATTTTTTCAAGATCGTCGCGAATTGGAGTGGCCGGGGGGACCTGCTCCGAAACGCTACTCGACGATGCAGCTTCGTTGTTCGGGTCCGCCATATTGATTGTTTTGATTTTTCCTCCGAACGAGCATGAGAAATGCGCAGATGTCAAACGCAGACCACGTAATAGTCTCCTAGATAGGGACAATACCGATCCGATACTTGTTCGCAACGTTATCGAATCGGTCGATGTCTCGTTCGGGGTTAGAAGTCAAAACATGTAAAAATTTTTACGATATTCGACTAGTTTATCGATTATTTTGATGATACAGGTAATAGCCTTTTTCAAATGAAACAAGACCAGCTAGAAAAAATGGAAGTATGGATGAAGCATTTTTAGACTTTGTTATTATTTATCATTGCTTTGTGTCGATATGAATTTTCGAATCTTATCATTTGATCTTCTCATGGAATGAAAGTAATTCAATTTTATCTGGATTAATTATTATATATTCCTAATTAAACCTATCATAATTAACATTTTGAACCTTTAAAAATTAGGAAATTATTAATATCGAAAAGTATTTTTATATTGTTTGGATATTATCGTTATATAAAAATGTATGACTAAACTACGTGATACAAATTCAATTTAAATAGTTCAAATTTCGCGCTTTCTTATATTAATTATATATATATATAATATATGTGCAAAATCTTAATGGTGCAAATTCGAAGCTTTTTGATGGAATCAAATATTCTTATTATACATAGTATCTACAAAATATTGTAAGATACAATAATTAAGCATTATGTATACCCAGATACATAATAGTTAAACATTATCACGTTTGTAATAGTATTTTTAAAAAAAAACATTTATTCCTTACAATCTAAGAAACTATAAATATGAAATCCTGATATCCGAAGAATAGTCAATCATCTTCTTGTAAGTTATGAATCACATTATTTAATTTTAAATTATATAGCGAAATAAATATTGATCTCAAGATAAGAGAGATGTACGGTATAATGATAGAATGAATAATAGGAAATAGAAAAAGGAAGAACGTAACTGAATTTGAATAATCAATTTTTTATTCACACATCGACGTATTGTCGTTTATACGCGCTTTGTCTTTCTCTTTATAAATTCATATCAATTTCATACAACTCGTGGCATGATCTATTATTTTTTCTTTTTTTTACATTACATTCCATTTCACCTCGTGGATACGATATTTCTTGTTCTTCATTAGAATGGACGAACATTTATTTAGATATATTTGCAATTACTACAGTCCACTCGATGTCTATGCACGAAAATTGTTACATAATATTGGAACGGAAAAAAATAAAACATCTACATGTATCGCATTTCTTACATAACACAAATAAATTTAGAACGTATTTAAAATATAATACTTATCACGGATTAATCAATAGAGTACATTTCTGATAATTTATACAGGGTGATTAATTAAATTTCTACACAAATTACATTCAAAGGAGATCACCGTTTTTGCCAACAATCTTATTATTTTTGTTGAGGTAAAAAAATCGATCACAATACTATTTTACTCTTAAGAGGTTGACATCTTCTACTGCGAAATTATAAATCCACTTAAAGAAAAGTATTTAACGTGGCGGATTTATAAAACTGATTGACATTAAGGAACCAGGCTCTCTTTTGTCGAACAGTCGCAATGAAAATTATATATGTTCCAAGTCACAGTATATATGTTATGCGATGTCTGTTTTAAAGGGCAAAAGAGTGCTATATCATTTACCCATATCAACAATTTTACACAAAAAGGACACTGTACCATTAAAAAAATCTATGTACTTTCAGAATATCCTTAATATATTTACTTACTTTATTCTAAAAATATTTTAAAACTCTCTGTTATTTCCGTTCATAGATAAAGTTTAAAATAATAAAAATTGCCACCCTGTACAGCATATAAACAAACATGAAAATACAATGCTTGTCGTACTTTCGATTTAACGTTAATGAAAATTCTACAAAATGTATCTTGCTCGTTACACGCTTTGCCTAACCAAATTTTTTATTGCGATATGGACAGTAAATTTTCACCATACTTTTACTTTTGGTGCTCTGTACATCATGCCATACTAAAAGGATGAATAATCTATGAATAACGGAAATAAAGTCAAACACTAACGTATAGAATTTTCGCAGATCGTTGAACCACTCTAATGTTTGGCAAAATCGATAGACTACGCTGCGCTATATATAGTAGAAGAGTAGAAAAATTTATTGCGAATACTTAGTGGACATTGTAGTACAGATAAACGCCTTCTAAATTTTCATTTTTTTTTTTTTTGTTTCCTTGCTTATGGTTTGTAACGTAAGTTACACAAGTGTAAACGCTCTTTGTACTTTTTCGATGGTATATCTGAATAAATTCAGGTAGTCGCATACAGCCGTGGCATTTTCTAGAAATTGGCATTTGACACAATTGAAATACATCTCAAATATATGGTATTCGACTTCGACGATACTAAATGGTTCAACGTATACCTTATTGCTCGTTTATAAATAGTTTTCCCTAAATCATGTTCAATTTCCTGGCATAGTTTATACAATAGAATAATTCACTTTAAAACCCCTGCAGATTATTCTGTTCACAAATAGAGACAGAGAAAAGGAGATCACATGATTCAGGTCATAAATATTTATCTCTCTATATACATGGAATTTTTTCAACGCACTTAATTTATTTAATATTTACAACATACACATGCACGATTTCCTTGTGCTTTTCTCTGAAAACAGAGTTCATCTGCTTCTGATATCGTACAAGGTGAAAGCTTACCCAACATCACCATATTATAAATTCCCCTATAGAAATATATTACGGCCCTTCCGTTGAACGTCTCGGTCTAGCTGTTTCAACTCCTTTCATGGTCGTTCCGTCCGAGACTGCAAAATAATTTGAAAAAATTGTTGCCTCCTCCTCGTTAATTGTTATATTTCATCAGAATTCATGTTTATGGAGACAATGAATATTACCAATTTTATCGTTATTTTATCAACAATTTTGTGGGTAAATATATATGTTAAATTTAATTTTGTAAGATAATTGTTTGACTCATAATTAATGTTCCAATTTTTATTTGTTTATCCACAACAAATAAAAATAAAATTTAAATAAAAAATACATGTTTATTCAATTCAAATATCTACTGAGTAGCAAGATATATAGAAATGTCTCCATGTACATGGCTAATGGGAAAGTCAAATATTTATTATTTCATTTCCACGACTAGACATTTACTTTTCGAATTAACGAACCAAAACAGTTCAACGAATCGACTTACCAAATACGCTGTGATTTTGTTCCGTAGTCGTATCGTCACTGACTGACTCCTCCAAAACTTTCGCTTTAGTCGGGCTTTGGCCCTGGATATCCGGCACTGTAGCCAACATCAAGCTTGTGGAATTTTTTAAACTATTATAAGAATGTTCCAACTGCTTTACTTTCTCGCTAAGTTCAACATTAGCTGCGCGAATTTCGCCTATCTACAAAATTTATAATTAATTAGAAAATAATCTTTTATGAAACTTGTAGAAATAAGTGAAATTATCGGAGAAGAATGATCTCGAATAAAATTCCTAAGAAATTTGAAAATAATCTTTGAGAGATAATTCGTAATGAAATTTGCTAAAAATATTAATGTTATCTGTAATTAATAATCTCCAAAACAAAGATCATAAAATCACATATTTTTCTTAAAAAAATGATATCTATAAAGTTATCTAATAAACAGCTGATCTTTAAATGACAATGAAAGAAAGGGCATTTTCTAAATCATATAATATGTAATATACATACTCGATAATAGATGGAAGAAATATATAAGGTAGTCCTTATCCGTTCTGTGTCTAAGGATATAACCTTCATGCTAACATTTTGCATGGTCTCTTGAAGCAGTACCAACGTTTTCTGTAAAAAATATCACGTTATTCCATCAGTGAACGAGCCACAACTTTCACCTTAAATATAATCTCAAATATTTACGTGATCATTCTTTTGATCCTCTGCCACCCACTGCACCGTTCTTGATAGCGTTTCATTAATGTTCGTTAAGTTATGAGATAAATGTACGATTGCTGCGTTCAACTGGTCAGTCTTTATCTTTGTTTCATTTGTAGTCAGCATCTGAGGTTTTTGTGTAATATTTGACATTTCTGTGACGGTATTCTGCAACAAAAAGATGAAATAAATAACTTGAAAAATTATACTTTTAACATTATAAACTATCACATTATTGAATAAACAATTTCTTTATAAACCTTGATACTGGTAATGTTCTGTTGTATAGTGGCTTGGGCATCTTGTACCCTAGCATTGGATTCTTTTAGTGTGTCTACTGTAGCACTCAGGTCTTGAATTTGGCTTCCAAACGATACCACGCTACTGGAAAGGGCCTTTAAGTCGTTTGGCACGTTGACTAATGCTGGATCAGCTTTGAACCATTCTTCTACTCGATGCAAATCCCGCTGGATAACAGCTAGCTACAGATGAATTTTTATTATACAAATAGATTATATTTATGACAAATACTGGGTTGCATGTAACTATTTTTCACTAATCTTCAAAGAAGTAAGTTATGACTTTTTATGTATACAAGGTGAATTCAAAATATCAGAACTTTGAAAGATAATTGTCATTTCTTGTGATAATAAAACTGTTAATTTCTAGATTCTCGAATTGACTAGAGATTAATACATCTGTTACAGGGCACCAAGAATTTACCTGTGTCGTAAAATTATTAATCTGAAGCTTGAGATCTGACAAATGAGTGAAAATAATGGTCTGGTTATTCTGGAGATCTCTCGACAGAGAATGGCATTTCTGCAAAGCGTCGGGAACACCTTCGCTACCGGCAATAACTGCAATGCAAACGACATTTTATTTCTTTTTTGTTTCTTCAAAAGTACACAATACAGGCGCATGATATAATTTCACGATCGAGGCAATCTTATCAAATATTTCAATCAGAAGCAGACAGATACGACGCTATGTTTCAAGTGTAAACCGTTTATTTATTCTGGAACGAATTTTGAAAAATGATCGAGCCTTTGAGAATTAAAATCGACCTTATCGAACACTTGAAATATTATTGATTAACAACTGAAACTCATTGTAAAAGTAAGTTACACAATCTAAGTACCATTTACAGTTGTGCTCTTATGACCACGAGAGACCACAGGGTATTTGATATTAAAATATCTTGAGATTAATTAGAAATAATTTAATGATCCTCTAATGGAGATGTGTTAAGTTAAAATGATCCAATATACCATGGATTACATGTTAATTCGACACTATCTCAACTTAGAAATAACTAAATACACAGTTATTAACTGTACATTAACTTAATACTCCATTTCCTAGATCTACACAGCAATTATTCACAAAGGCTCGGTGGAACTTAACTCGAACGCTTTCCATCCACTAAACGATACCGAGTAATCCAATATTTGTCAACATATCGAGCCGACGATCTCATTCGGTTAAGCGTATTACCACGCAGCCATAATCGCTGCATTATAAGCAGATTATCCAGCGTCGCACTATCAGCCTGATCTTATAATTATATGTACGTACGAGTCACAAATTAACGTAACTAGCTAAAAATAAACCAAATATGAAGAACAAAAAATAAAGGAAATAGAGAAGAAAGAAGAAACCACAAGCCGCGCTTCTATTCTGGAACTCGTTGCGATGGGAACCATTCACGTTACAATAACGTGAACGAAACTCTACGAGAAAGGTGAAAAAAAGAGAAAAAAAGAGAGGGATTTAATTAAATTTCTTTCCCTCGAATTCTTTTCCTCAGATTTTTTCTTCTTTTTCATCTAATTTAAAACGCTTTTTAAGGAGCCTCCTCTCGCAAGGGTTCCTCAAGATGCAATATACCTTGGTCCAGTTCGGTCCTTAGAGCAGTGAGTTGCTGACGAACGTCGATGAACAGCCAAATTAAACTAGCGGTTGCTAATACAGAGGCACAAGCCAGAAAGGCACTACAAGCTTTAAAAAATCCGGGACAAGCTCGACTTCGTCTGCCTCTGCATTTACGGTCATTTGTAGTCAACATATTCCAGTATTCCGATCGTTCGTCGCTGCTATCTGATAGTAACTCCTAGAAATTGTAGGGATAATCAGTGCGCCGTCTTGTCCTCTGTCTTTTTCGCAGACGATTAATTTTTACCAAATTTCCTCGTACTTAAGGTACCTCGGAAAGCCTTTACCGGCTTTCCGTCTATATCTTTTCATTCATGTTTACTTTATACTAATTGAAATATCGCCACTTGTTTTTGCAGGCTCGTAAAACATGAAATGTCTGTTCTTTGGAGTCAGAAGATGGACATATTTCATGATCGAAGTAGAGAAGATTTCATCGAAGAGTTTAAGATGGAGCGTTCATGTTTTCCCGCTTTTATACACTCCACGTGGCTTAATTTTGCGGAAGAAAAATCGTGGAAGAAAAAAATGGCGAAAAGCAGATTGAACACTGAGGAGCGACACGATCGAAACAACATTATATAAGAAAAATACAATTAGAAGGAAATAGACTAAAGGTGAAACAATCTGAGAATGTGTCAATTACATAGATAAGATCCTCTATGGCCTGTGGAAGAGCTTCCGCATCCCTCTAATCTTCTTACCACTTCCTTGATCACCACTACTCGCTGTGAATTAACATTTCATATATTACGGTCTCATCGCGCCAAGGGGATTTCCTAATTAATTTTCGTATCATATGAAACACGAAGTGATAGATGACTGCGCTTTCACATTTCTAGTCTGGCAAAATTTCAAACGTGCCCAAGGAATTTCTTCGCGTCTCGTTAACTACGTCTCAATGAAACCTGAGAGTACTTGAAATACGAAGCAACGAGTAAGTACAATTTTGCATTTTGAATTGCACTGTCTTACCTCGACAGAAAAAAAAAAGAAAAATAGAAAATTTCACGAAGAAAAATGTAATAAAGAATCTCGTTATTTTCATTAGAAGAAACGTTCCTCGTGGTTACGGTCAATCGATACATACTTGGGAGCTACGTTTTCCGGAACTTCGGCGGGAGACAGAGTGTGGAGGTGCTAGGGCGTCGAGCTCCTTCCGTTTCTTCAATTTCTTCGTCGGCTGACGAAGCGGCACTGTCACCGCCACCGAGTCCATCTCAAATAACACCGAACCACCTATCTTCGTTTCGTTTCACACGAGCCAATCACGTATGAGAACACCCTTCTTTTGACTTTTTCTTTCTCTCTCTTTCTCTCTCCCTGTATATATCAACCCCTGCAAAATGCACTCGCGTCGATAATCGTTCATTTCCGTACTTAAGATTCGGTCGTGTTTACACCGTCTCGTTCGCGAGAACGTGACAATCTACGATCCACAGTTCCACGATCACATTTTTCTGATCCTATCGTTCCCGTGAACGGAATGCTTACTGGTATCGTATTGTGTGACCACTTCCTCTGAAATCAATGGATTTCGCACGTCAAAGTGCATATGTTTCGTCTTTCCCTCCCCCTTTTCGTTAGCCAAATTTAATTAAGAAGTATAAATGGGCTTTTACGATTTGGGGAGTATTGGCAATGTTTCGATCGGTTTATAGCTTTCTAGCTAGATCTCGATGGTTTTATGAGTATTAATTACTAGGTGAGGTAATTTTAGTTGTTTGGAGATTATTTGGATGCTTGTTGGAACTGAGAGAGCTCTGTAAGGATTTAAAAGGATTCTGAAGCAGCTATAATCTGACAAGGAGAGTGCAAGTCCTTCGGGTCACCGATTTGGTTCAAACTTTGCAGGTTTGTAGATCTCGTCATGCAGTTCAAGAAAATATACCATTATAGGGGCAACTACCCAGTAGCTTTTGAATACTTCATGAACTACAGATGTATTTTCACTAGTTTTCAAGTAGCGTTGTGGTCCAGCGTCGACGTCCAAAAATTCTTACGCTGTAGCTCGGAGTTCGATTCCCGTCCATATGTTTCGTACTTTTTTTTCAATCTATTTTTTATTTTGTATCCATTTTTCGCCTACGAATAAAATTTCTTAATAAAAGAAATTTATTTTTACTTTTTACCGTAGCTTTGGATGGAAACTGACTGATTGGAAAATACATTCCGATGCCTGCGAGTTTCCTTATTGGTTCTAACATAAACAATCTAACGCCAGAAGCTCTCGAAGCTCTTGACAGAGAATGCAAGACCGAAACAGATACAGAGGACGATTTTTTAAATGACCATAAATGTGAATTATTTCAATGAAATATAATTCTTTCAGTTGTTATTCACGAATGACTGATAAATTGTTAATTGTCAATTCGAATAGCAAAATTTATTAGTTACTACTCGTGAACAACAAAATAAATTAAATTTATTTAATATTTGCAATAATTTTTGTATACTTGCATAAGAAAGTGTAAAAAATAGATTGAAAAGAAAGTACCAAAACATATGGACGGGAATGGAACCCCGACCTACAGCGTAAGAATTTTCGGACGTCGGCGCTGGGCTACAACGCTATTTGAAAACTAGTGGAAATACATTTGTAGTTAAAAAAAGTAATAAAACTTTAATCATAAATATCTCAAAAACTACTGGATAGTTGCCCCTATAATGATATATTTTCTTGAACTGCATGACGAGATCTACAAACCTGCAAAGTTTGAACCAAATCGGTGACCCAAAGGACTTGCACTCTCCTTGTGAGTGAAACGAGAGAACCATTCGAGGCCACTAGGGATCTGTCCCCAGTCCTTTAATTTTGCTACCCCTTCCCCAACAGCTAAAGAATTGTGCACAGTAGAAGTGCAAGAGTTATACAAAATAATTTACGGTTTCCAAGAGTACCACGTATACTTTTTAAGCGAATATTATGCGCTACGCTTGTCACGCGAACAAAATTATACTTAACGTGTTTTAACAGACACAAAATTCGAAGAAATTTTACAACTTTTACACAATTTTATCGCGAATGGAATAAAGGCATAGTAGTTAGCTAAAATTAGATACTTCTCCGATTTATATTATATTATTTATATTTTCGTATTTTTTCTAGACTTATTCGTACGTCCACACACGCGGAAGGACAGATGGCCATTGTCGAGCTTCTGAAATCTGGCAACGATTTCTTCGGTACACCACCATATCGCGACATCAATCGATCGATCCCGGCGATACAACAGCAAGGGACCAACTCCTCAAGCGGCAGCAAAAGAGGTCAGGGGGAACAAAAGCTCGAGGAAGGCGACGACAAACAAAACCTCGACTAGCTAAGAAAAAACTAGGGACAACAAAAAAAAGGAAAGAATGAAAAAAAAAAAAAATAGGAACGAGGCACGATAACGCGGCCACGATGATTGTAGCGATTTAAGTGTATCAGTCGAAGCTGTTCAAGGCAGTCGACTCGTTTAGATAAGGCAACCTGGACAAAGCATTCGGATGTACGTGTGTGTATTCCAACGTACATACGCTATAAGGTGAAATAATATCGAACTTCAGTAGTCCAGCTTTTACACGTGTCTGACTACCAATTTTAATATTCAGCTTCGTGTCCTGATCACGCGAATCCAAAGAATTTTCTCATCAAATTTACATCTGTTTTATTAACGTGTTCGCAAACTGGTATCTATAAATATTCATCGTTCATTTGGTAAAGTGAATCGATATTACACTATCCACATATAGAGACAATATAGTTACGCGAACTTGGAAGCTTCTGTGTGTGAATTTTTTAATTCAAAACGACATATAGAACGAAACTAAGGAACTTATGTTCAGACCTTGAGCGCGAGGCATTTCTTCACGGAAATAGCTATTCGAATAATTACCAAACATACCCAGTGGAAAAATGCGAATGCGCCTATAAAAGACCCAAACACGAAACTCAGGAATATTTCTCGGAAAATTTTTTCGAAAAACGAGAAGAGTGCAAGAGACAGGTACAATAACAGTTTTCTTAGATTATAATTGTTCCACTTTCACTACTCTTCCTTTGAATCTCTCCGTGCATCTCGCCGTTAAACCTAAACCATTGTTACAGCCGCGCCATAGCGAGGTCTCCTAGCAAGGTCTCCTAACTGGAAGCAACGCTCCTCGACGAAATCGCCGGAAGTCAGCCATGGACGTGAAACAGAGACGAGGAAACTTGGAAAATTCGTATCCGTTTGATGGAACTCGGTGATATCTTTGGGCACAGTAAGAACAAATCTTACACTGTGTATCACTAGGCTGTTACGCCGTGACGCAATTACGAAACTCACGGTGGATCACTGTCAAGAAGACAGGAGAAACGCGGAGGAGGCGTGACGGATCGAAAGGAATCGCATTACGAAGCGAACATCGCCGAGAAGCGCTTCGTACTGGGGCCCTCTTATCATAGTCTGCTCGTCGTACCTGACAACGTTTACAAGTAACACTCGTGCACTCGCCCCGGTACACGAATAAACATCCGAGTACATTCGTGCAGGTGCATACATACACGCGAGAGTAAATTGAGTGCGCGTAATCGTGGATCTGGCAAGAAGAAATGGATGAACAATGCGCCAGACGTGGTTGTCGCTGAGTACGCTGCTTATTTTACTGTTATGGTTGGAAAAGGAAGTTTCCTTTGCTCCTTAATTTAATGGATAGAAGCATTGACCGTAGTGTAATTAACTTGTGCAAGTGGAATTTTGTTTGCCCGATAAGGCAGCACATACGTTCGTTTTTGCAGGACTTTAAGTTATAATACAGGGTGCTCCAGAAGTCGTAATGCAGCAGTAAGTCGAAAATCTTTTCACACATGGCTTGTATATTCGTTAACACGTTCCCTGCCAGAGCGTTTTTTGAAGACTTTCCGTATACGCCCCACGCTTTACAGTTGTATTGTTTACATATAATTTTTTTTATCATGTCTATATTAGTTTAAAATAAAACATTTTAATTGAAATCAAATTTGTATACAATTACAAAGGGATGTTACGGTGAACTTTGTTAAAACACGGCAAACATAAGTGTGGTTTATCCATACAACTATCATAGAATGTTACAACTTTTACAGTACAGTTTTTTGACGATTGGGAACCTAAATTTTTAACATCTTTTTCGTAACAAATTTTGCAGTTAAAACAAGTTGCGGTAAAGAAATTGACCACCACGCCCCACGATCAAATGAACGCATCAGCAATAATATTAAGATGCCTATAATTGATTGCATAATGAATTTTTAAAAAATTCTTCATTTTACAATGATAATACCAAATGGCTTGAACGGAAAGTTCAGCGTGGGGCGTATACGCCCCACGTGGCAGGGAGCGTATTAAGTGCACGTGTACTTAACCAGCCATGAGTTGTTTAATTCGTTCAACCTAGCGCCAAATAGGCGAATGAAAACGGAAAACGACAGAGGGGATATTAACTGGTATGATTGAAAGGAATAGGGTATAATACGTGTCGATTTGTAGCTATGAACACCTCTGGTTGTGTTTATGGATATCACCCAGGAGTTGATGTAATTTTACATAAAGCGATTTCGGTAATTTATTTATTCTAATAATATACGAAACCTTGGAAATGTTCTCGACATCATGAATAAATTGCAGGATAGTACACGGAGTACCACAGAGAGTATAAAAAGCGACGTGGAAGACCAAAAAGTAATCTAATTAATAAATGTGTCATACACGATACCTTGCAATTAATGAAAGAACAGGTATATTCTACTTAATCACTCTATGTACATAGGAAATTGGTAACTTGCTAAAATTAATTACGTATTTACCGTGTCAGGTGGTCAAGCATGATGGAAAACTGGTAAATTAATTTCCCAGTGGCGAGGAACTGCAGAGATATTCGCAGTTTACATCTCTTGAGAGTTTGAGATCTAATAATAATTGTCACTTGACTGAACTCGGTAATTATTTCTTATCAGAACAGCAATTTAATAAATGCTTTATGGCGTCATTAGGTTCCTTTACTGCACGTTTTATCCGCAAGTCGAGTAATAAAACAAACGAACGGAAGACTATATCTACAGGTATATATTCAAAAAGTCTATAAAAGGAAACTAACTTCCTTTAGATGAAGATAAGAGGCCAGTGAGTATTCGATATAGGTTTTTTAGTTCTCTGCAATGCAATCTTCGGAATGGATATTACTCGTATTTTCAAAATATTTTGATCGCCTTTATCATTATACCATCACACAGCATCCACTAAGTATCCTATTTATTAGTATGTTAATTATTAATTCCAGTTAATTCTTCTCCACATAAATTATCTTTCTTGCGAATGAAAACTGATGGCACACAATTGAAGATCGGACCTAATAAAAAATAGAATTTTGAGAGTTTTCAAGAGTTTATAATCTCTCTTATAAAAAAACACGATACGAAGAAATCGAAGTTTTATAAAAAAAAAAAAAAAAAAAAACGATACTTAACAAGGAACGAATGACCTCGACAATCCAAACATCACGCTTCTTCTAAGAACAGCATACCTTCTTCAAAAATAGAATCGTGTTTAGGGAAGAAAAAAGGACAGTCTCTATGAAAATAGAAATGCCTTCATAGAAATTACAGAACTTTTAAAAATAGAAGTACCAAGAACCATTTTCCCGGATCGAATATAAAAGGTTCGGGTATAACCTAATTTTCGGTGAAAAATGGAGTACCCAGAAGCACGTCTTTCGGCTGAAAGTTAAAACGACAAATGCATCTCCAATTCCGTAATAACGTCACTTTAAGAACTTCCAACTTCGCGAAGGCCATGCACGCACGATCTCTCTTCATACGTAACGAATAACAAAAACATCGCCATCGTGGTACTCGCGATTAGTAGCGATCAACGCCGCAACCACCGTTTCCGTCTCGAATTACGTTTGCACAGCAGTAGAAAAACATTCAACGCAAGTACGAAATCGAACGTTATTTTGCTTTATCGGCAATATTTTCTACGTTTCCTCCCTCCTCTATCGGGTGAACAGCAATTTCCATTGCGGTACTGCACATTTTCGAAGAAATCTTACGTTATCTAGATTTGAAGCTAATTGTAAGTTTAAAGACAAATTATCAATCAAAGAACCACGATAAAAATTAATCCGGAATGATAAGTATTCTTGATGAAAGTTTGAAAATTGAAAAATTCAAGATTTATTAGATAGTTGCGTAGGTATTAAATTTAGCAATCTTTTTTTAGTAATGGTGGTAGTAACAATGATAATAATATTACTGATATTAATAGTAATAATAATAATAGCGGTATAAATTTTATTTAACGTTGAAGTTTCTTGTTGTTTACTACAGAAAAAAACATTTAACGAGCTTGTTTTGGAAATTCTTATCATACTGTTTTTAACTTTCTACGTCATTTGAAATGCATATCCTTTAGCAGTAATTATGTTTTATTCAAGGAATCGATCCAGAAAGTGCGAATTTCTGTTGTGTTCTTAACACTGATAACTTATCCATTTCAGGGCCGTATCAAATTACAGGTTCCGTAGCATTCACTACAAAAATATACATGGAAATTTAAAAAGTACAATTTTGTAAAATAAATATCGTTTATTGTGTTATTTATTAGTTTATAGTGTTATAAAGGGTACTAAATACCTATAGTGTTATTATTAATTCACTGTTAATTCTATTGGCACGATTAAACACCTGCTAATAACTCAACGGGTCTATTTGCACCTCCTACATATTGTGGCCAATTAATATGAAGTGTAGGCATCCCTTAATTATTTTGAGTGGTGCAATGATTCACGAAATACAGAACTCTAAACTGAGAAATCCGAGAGTTCGTTGATTCGGAATTATATTCGCTTTTTTCTAGCAATAATTTCATGAAAATTTGTATTCTTTCTTCGTATTAAAATCTTTTTTGGTTATGTATAAATTTGCGTTATTGTTAAAGTAAAGTCTATGTTTCGAAACAAAACTAACCTATCTTTCTTTATTTGTTAATTATTCAGAAATATTCTTGCAAATAATAACGACAAATATTGAATTTAGCTACCGTTTCCAATTTCCGATACGAACGTAAATGAATCAACTTGTAGAATAACAGAGTTGAGTTGACATGCTGTTGAAATCAATTAAAAGGTCACGTTTTCAATGAAGATGACGACAGAGATAGTAACAATTATCGATATTATTTTCACGTTTCTAGTAACAAACTATGACTGTACACTTAAATCGCTTTAATTGCATACGCTGCATGACTAAACCAAAAAATAAGCCAATACGACAGGACTGAACGTCTAATATATACAGGATAACTATGACGTGTGGAATTAGTCTCATATATTTACCATGTATGCGTCGTCGTGGTCGCAAACGTTGCGTGTTCGTCAGTGTCGCGAGGTTACTTAAACGAACTAACCCTCTTGTATGTCCGCCCCTATGAGATAGACACACGACTTTTCGTACGTCACTCCATTAGAAACACTTCTATGTGTTCGCTGGACGATTGGGAATCGATAGGAGAGAAATAAAACCGTGCACACCTGTCGACCATCGAATGTTTCAAACACTGAAGACCACGAGTACTTGGTGCATGCGGAACTTGACCTACGTCCGGTATAAATTATACAACGATTCTGATCGATTTACGAGTTACAAACTGTACAGGAGAAAAACCACAAACCAAATTCACGATCAATGACTTAATATACCGGTATTATAAATTATGAATTATTTAATGAGTTACAAGACACTATTTACCAAGTGGAATTAACAAAGAAAACAAACGTTAAAATACGAAGTAAAGAGCGTAGACAACGCCTCTACTGTCACCGCGTGCTACTCGCCCCGTGCGCAAGATATCGACTGACTGAGGGTTGGTATACGACCATGCACAGTCTATCTACCGGGGGTTCCTACGATAACAATTCACTGCGCATAGGGAATTTTGAGTTGACACGGAAGCGGAAAAGAGGGAAGAAAACGAAAAAAAGGAGGGCAAATGTAAGAATCGCACGCAATTTATGAAAATAGAGGCACTGATGATAACACGATCGATAAAATTCAAAAGATATCAATGAAAATATCGTTATCGTTGATAATAAACTGAATTCAATGTTTAGTATTATTCAAATTCTTCTAGAAAAATAAAAATTATAAATAAAAAAAGGAAACTGAAATGATAGCGACAATAATTGATATCGATAAATTTTTTAACAGAAGCAATTCTCGACAGTACCGAAATAAACATATTTCTGTTTATTATTATTTATATATTCAAGTTTCCGTATTTACTGTTGGATTTACATTACTTTATAATGATCACCGATCTAAATTTACAATGCGTTGGATAGTACAAAAATAGACGATCGTGTATATTGAACATCCGAGGACATTACAGCTATTTTGAGTTAATCTCACGATGTATGAATGAACTTAACACGTAATAAATATTTTACTTAAGACATTTTTATGTCTTACTCCAACATTTGCATAAATATTACGAATTAGTCATGCGAGATAATTATTAAAATTTTACAAACGTCGGTATTAATTTGCACATTGTTACTTTGATTCAAGCAGAATTGAGATGAGTATAATACAATACATAAATGTATAAAATAAATAATTTTTACTAACATCACTTTTTACAATAATAATTTAATTATTTAAATTTGTTCCAATACTAGTTCCAGAATAAAAGCGGCATAAAGCAGTTTTAATTATTATCAGTTTCTTTCAATCATAAATATCACTATCATTGATATGCATATATAATATATTTACCTGATTTTATAGAAGTATCCATTTTTTTAATTTCTCCATACAAAATGACAGCCAGCCAAGACAGTGCTATCAACCAGAATGTAATTAAAACAGCCGCCAACCACAATGATATGATTCTCATATCAGACTTGCCACATCCACAAGAATCTGTCTGCTTCATTTTCACTGTGCCGCATGGTCTATGTTTCCTGTAACATAGTACAAATTTTTCACATTATTTAAATATCCAAAACTTAAGCTTAATTACCGTTTTAAATAAAAACTGAAACTCTTTTCTTACCGTTTAACTTTTTTCTTCTTGGGTGTAAGTACCAAGTCCGACACATCAGAATCACTATCTGATAGTAGATCGAGAAGATTTATGGTTTCTTTGTTGTTCGAATTGTTCATTATGATCGGAAAATCATAGCACGGGTCATGAAGTTAAAATACGGACGTGAAATTGCATTGACGGCCAGCTCGATAACATAACCTCGTTAAGTGAATTTTCAGTCATTAAAAAATCGACTTCCTTAGCAGTTTTCTAATATTTGTTTTAATTATGTCGACTACATAATATGTAATAAAACTTAAAATTCTGTGTAATTCTCACATATCATTGCTTTGGTACAATTACAATCGAACAATCCATTCCTCTGCATTCTCCGCAACATAATCTATACTTACTCATACTTACACAGCACGCTTTCTTTTTGTATGTCCCGACATCTAGCGGGTAAATGAAGAAATACAGAAAAATCGTAAATACCCATTTGATATAGATACATACATTTTATAACAATTACATTTATTCTATGAAATTAGTCATATATGGTGCTAAACGGTATTTTGATCTATGTAGAATTCGTGAATTTCGTTCCATTTAATTTTATCACATCAACTATGTGATATTGTCAATTCATATAAAACGCGTATTAGATATGCATACGGTTATTAATTATAACTTTAAAATGATAGAAAGTTATTGATCATTAATAAATTAAGACTGAAGTTATAGAAGAACAAAGTTTGCTTTTAAATAATTTAATTCAAAATCGATTAAAAAGTGTAGGTTGCCTATATTATTATTTAACTTATATTTATATATTGTATAATATTTACATAAAGAAAAGAAAATTGTGTAAAATTTTACTACAATTAGAATTATATTTTCTTATTTCAGCAACTATTCACCTCAGTTGTTGCTTAATTAATCTTAAATTTTCGATCGTTGATTTTGGTGCAATTAGTAAAATACCCTAAAAATGTATAAATGTATCATTAGTATTATTGATAATTAGTATTGATATATCGGAAACTACTGTCTATGTACATAAGAATGATTATTTCACTTGCAGTTAAAGCCAACAGCAGAAAACAATTTATAATCTGGTAACGATGGGAAAACAAACCTTAAGTGACATTCCCTTTCTCTTCATTTTTTTTTTGAACCCTCCTTTCTTTTAGGGTTCAACTGAACACTTTGGTTTGAACTCGTCGAAAGAATAGTCCTTCTAACGCATTAATTAGCGTGCACAGCACGTTACAGCGCTTTCCATTGGAGACGGCATCGCATCCGGTAGAAGTTCGGTCAAAAACGATCTACGTGGATCGCATATGACTTCGCTGCAAATTTATCAAAATTTATATCGTTGATTCGATTCGTTCACAAAATCCTCTGGCATCTCTGCATTAGTCTCATATTCAATCCTAGAAGACATGTCTTATTAGTGACCTATCTAATAGAATATTTAATTAAATAAAAATATAAATATTTTAAACATGACTTTCATATCACTTTATAACTTAAATGCGACATACTCGAAGATACTCTTTTCTTAAACATCTCGTGTATTTAACTATACTATGATCTTCGTTAAATAATCTTTGTTAAAATTAAGAAGGGGGAAATGTAGGTTTCCCGAGTTTTCTAACGATCAAAATTTGCGTTGATGTCTGGGCGTTCGGCTGGCTGGATGTGACACAGCCGAATTTCATAAAACATCAGCTATGCCGACATCTTGCCTTCGAGGCGCTCAGTTAGAAGCGTGAAAACATTCCTCTTGTTAGAAACAACTGATTTAAATAGAACACTCCATCATAGAACGTTTTGATGTCTAAGTAATTTGATCTGATCCTTTTCTCCACGATTACTTCATCATTTTAGTGTACTATAAATAAAAATCTTAATAGTCTCAATACATTTATTAAAATTTAATACAGATTAATCCATCAGCATCGCCGCCAGGAAAACTTAAAAAACAATAAAAAGATAAAAAGAAACACAAGCTCTGAAATAAATCAGAGATGAAGAAACTTCACAGGAAATACCAAAGTAACTAATCACTTACCACTTTATAAATAATTTGACACAAAGTCTATCCTCTCTCAGTTCTCCACCATAATATTCACCCTACAAATTAATC